TGGTCATGGGGCTTGAACTCTGGGCCTGGGCACTCAGTGTCCCTGAGCTCTTCAGCTCAAGGTGAGCCCTCTGTCACTTGAGCCATGGCGCCCCTTCTGGTTTTCTGGTGGTTAATTGGAGCTTAGAGTCTCATGGACTTTCCTGCCTGGGCTGGCTTTGAACTGCAATCTTCAAATCTCAGCCTCCTGAGTAGCTAGGTTTACAGGCATGAGCCACTGGTGTCTGACAGGGTCTTGTATTTTTTCCCATGTATGGCTTCAGACCTTCAGCCTCCCCAATAGCTGGAATTTGAGGTGGACACCACCATGTCCAGTTTATCTTGCTGATGTTTGAAAGCCATGTTAATCCCAGCACCATTAGGCTTCCCTCAAACCACAATCCCTTGATTTCTGACTTGCTAGTTGCTGAGATTACAGCTACACACCACCATGCCCAGCCATAGTTTTGTTTCTTTTTTCCTTTTTAAACTGGGGTTTGAACTGAGAGCCTTGTGTTCGTTAGGCTGTCACTCTACCATTTCAGCCACTCCTCCAGCCATGTTTTTTGCTGGTTATTTTTGAGATAGAGTCTCTGGGATTTTTCTGGACAGGCTGGCCTCCAACTGAGATGCTTTCTCTCTAGCCTCCTGAGTAGCTAGCATTACTGTGCTAGAAGCTTCTTTCAATTGCATCTATTAAAATGCAAGATAAAGTAAGCTACCCCTGGAATTGTGTGTGTATATGTGTATATGTGGGGGGGAGGGAGGGGGGCTGATACTAGAGCTTGAACTCTGGGACTGGGCAGTGTTCATTAGCTTTTGTTTTCTTTCTCAAAGCCAGCACTCTGCCACTTGAACTCCATTCTCCAGCTTTTTGGTGTCTTCCAAACTTTCCTGCCTGAGCTCCCTTCGAACCATGACCCTCAGACCTCAGCCTCCAGAGTAGCTAGGATTTACAGGTATCAGCTGCTTGTACATGATGAGCTTTACACATGAGATTTATCTTTTCAAAAAGAGGTAGAGCAGGGAAAAGTAGGAAAATCCTCAGGCTAGCCATATAAAGAATTGAAGAAGCATACCTAGGAGTAAAGAACAAGGATGTTGGCCAAGAGGCCTCCTATGAATAGAAGGAAGTTGGGTGCTAGTGATCAAAGCAATAGGAGAATGACCTCAAGGCCTTTCAATGACCAGTGCCCCTCCCCCAGCAGGTTCACTGAGCTCAGGCCCTTGGGGTGGAAGTTTCCTGGCTCCCTGCCCAGGGCCATGTCACGACTCTGCTCCCTGCATTCCAGCCAGTGTTCTTCAGCTGTTCCTCTTGTGGCTCCAGGCACAGCACAGGCCACTGTCCTAGAAGATGAAAGTGGTCAATGATGGCATGGTATCCACCCTGCAGGTTTGCTGGTTTCCAGAACTGGGGAGCATAGCTTCCTCCACCCTAGACTTCAAAGGTTGTTATAGACAGCCTTGAAGACTTAGAATAGAGAGGGCAAGGAAGAGAAAATAGAAAAAAAAAAGTACCTAATGTGTTAAAAAAAGAAAAAAGAGTGCTTCTACGGAACATTCATTCTTGACATACAACTCTGACTTTCTTGAAAGACATCACAGAGAACTGTTCTGTTGTGCGGTTATACCCTAACCTCACAAAGAAACCCCACAAAAAAAAACAACAGCCCTGTTAAAAATCCCTGCCTTAAAGAAAACCCATGATACAGCATCAACAAGAGCATAAAGCATGTGCCTACAGAATCATAGTAAGTCACCATGTGCCATGTAGCTTGCCTTTCTTACCACTTCAAGACCCTAAACAGGGACAAGAATCATCAGATAAGAGTCTAGGAGCAAGAACCTTGGAAAAGATTGTAGGGGTAAAAGTCAAAGCAAGTAATTAAGTGGCCAGAGGTTAGTAGAAAGAAAACCAATGTAGATCTGAATCTCAAAGATATCCCCAGACAAACAGAATCATCCTGATGTTCATTTCTGGAGCCAAATCAAGAATTCTCTCCCTGTCTTTCTCTTCTGTAATAGTTTTAGTCAAGTCCCTTTCCTCAAGAAGATTCTGGGTAGTCCCAATACCTACACATATTTTTTGAGAAGATGTAATTCAGCCTGTAACAAGTGCCTGTAATCACCCTCCCCCCCAAATTCTAAAGGTGTCAAATATTGTCAGGGAGACAACACAGTAATTCTTAGCATTTAACCAACATACATTTATTGAAGGCCTACAATGCACAGCATTCATCTGAATTTCATTTGATTCAAGTGAAATCTGTATAAACATTTAGTTATATATAGTTTGAGGCCCCTGCTATATTAAAACTCAGAATGGATGCTGGTGGCTCACATCTGTAATCGTAGCTAATCAGAAGGCTGAGATCAAAGGATGGAGGTTACAGGCCTGGAAGAAAAGTCCATGACACTATCTCCAATTAACTAAAAAGTTGGACTGGAGGTGTGGCTCACATGGTAGAGTACCAGCTGTGTGCAAAAAAAGCTGAGGATTGTGTGAGGCCTTCAGTGGAAGGCCTGATACCAGCACACACACACACACACACACACACAAAATTAAGATTTGTGTTAATTTTGAATTCTGTCATTACCATTGGAGCAAATTAAACAGTGAAGCAAAGACCCACACAAATGCCTTTGTGTGATGAAATGACTCTGCTAGGCACGGTTGCCAGGAGATTTTCCAGTTTGGCAATCACTGACTCATTTGTAATCAACAACCTTTGGCAAAACCAACATGGGTTGGTGTTCTGCAGGAGAGGGGAGGGTATGCACCCACACTTAGCTTCTCCTACCTCATGAAATGGTGGACTCCTCAGGGCTTGTTGTTATTGTTCAGATTCATTTATTTCCAAGCCAGATTTCCAAAGCATTTATTTTCAAGTGTCTTTTGGTGCTGAAAGCTCAACTATTTCCAGCATTAGAAGCAATTTCCCCCCACCGCGTTCGCTAGTATTGCTTCACTGGAACATCTCCTGCCTTTTATTTTTAGTCTTATCTTGGTTCTGTGTCTTGTTTACTTGTCCAACTTCTTTTCTTTCCTTGGGTTATTTAAACGTCCTTTTCCTAACTCCAAGTTTAATTTGTTTTCATTCTTTCTTACTTAGCAATGAATATGCACGAGCTATTAATTTTCTAAATACAGAGCAGTCTGCCTACTAAAATCCCCTCCCCCTCCCACCCAGATCAGTTTGGTTCTCTAAGCCAAATTGTCTCTTGCCATAACTCTCTGATATAATCTCTATCTTCAAAATTAAAAGCAGGGTTAGCCTGGTATAGATGGCTCTCACCCATAATCCTAGTTACTCAGGAGGCCGAGATGTGAGGATAGTGGTTCAAAGCCAGCCTGGGAAGGAAAGTCCATGAGACTCTTATCTCCAATTAACCACCAAAAAGTTGGATGTAAAACTGAGGCTGAAATGGCAGCCTTGGCAAAAAAACAAACAAACAAAAAACTTAGGGACAGCACCCAGGTCCCAAGTTCAAACGCCTGGGTTGCACAAAAATAAATACACAAATGAATAAAAAATTACAAACAGTTCTGAAGCACTCATTTAGCAACCTAAGGCGACACTGGATTTTCACAGAGCCTCCTTTTGGCCTAGCATAGGGTCTCAATAAGAGAAATGAGGATAAACCCCCAGGGACAAGCTTTACTTTCCCTGTGGCTGGTGCTGTATTACAAACTTCACTTGCCTCTCGGCCGTTCTATACCAATCCTCCATGTCTATTTGTATGGATGAAACCCGACTGGAGCATTTGTCTCCCATTTCTCTTTTACCAACATTGCCCAACTTGACAGTCATAATCCCTTCCCCCTACCTAGGCCCCTCTCTCTATGCATTCCAGCTCAGAACTAGGAGCAAATGTCCATTCATCAAAGCTACTGACCCCCCCCCCCCCCAACCCGCCTAAGACAGCCTCCGCCCACAGGCTTCCACACATTCTCCTTGATTTTGTTCATAGAATGGCTCCGTACGTCTCATTCCTCACCTAGGATCTGCTTCTGCCACTACACTTGAAACTCCCGGGCGTGGAATTGGTGCAGCTCACCGCCGCACTCTCTGACATCCTTGGGGACCAGGGCACCTACAGGTACCCAATAAGGCCAATGAGGTCCCCCCCCCCCCCCCCCCGAGGATCCAGTCCTCTGGGACTCTCCAAAAGTAAAAAGTAGCCACCCGTTTGATTTTGCAAATGGGATGTCGGTGACCTGCCAGGCAGGGGACTTAAAGCACCTCACTTGATGAACCCTGAGATCAGGAGTGAAGTGTGGGGAAGGGGGAGGAGGGGCTTTAGGCTCTCCCCGGTAATTACACCCAGAGAGGGGAGCCTGATCTTGGCAGCACAGGATGGAGGGGGGCAAAGGACGGACAGTGACCGGGAACGGGAGGGAAATGCGGGTGCTGGGTGAGCCAGGGGAACTGACATGAGTGGGCACCGGGGGAGAGGGGCAAGGATTACCCAAGGGACTGTGAGGATGGGGGGGGGGGGAGGTTGGGCATAGCCGGTGGGAATGGACAGGACAAAGCCCGGCGTGGACAGAAGAGCCGGGGTGAGAAAGGAGGTGGTGGTGGAGCAAACCAGTGGCACCAAGAGGCATCTAGAGGTAGAAAGTGGGGGCGCCGAGGGGTGTCTAGAGGTGGAAATGGAGGCGTCCTGGGAGACTAGAGGCGAGCACGGCCCATCTGGTCCAGACTGGGCAGGCAAAGGCGTAGGATCTGAAAACACCGAGGGGCGCAGGGGGCGAAATGAAAGAAGTGGGGCGCAGGGGGGGCATCCGGAGGTTGCCAAGGGGGTGAAGGGGAGCAAAGGACACCCCGCTTTCCGAGGCGCAGAGCGCGGGGCTGGGTGGCACCGGGGCTGGGGGCAGCGGCCGCCAGGGCTGGGCCTGGCTGCGGGGAAGGGGTGCGCGGGGGTGGCCGGGAGGCGGGCGCAGCGGCGGGCGGGCGGGCGGGGCGGCCCCCGGTGACCGGCGCTCACTTCCGGGAGAGCCCGGCGCCCTGGCCGCCGCCGCCGCCGCCTGTTTGCAGCGCTGCCAGCCGGCGGGGCCGGGGCCGCGGAGCCGCGGAGCCGCGGAGCGCAGGCCAGGCCGAACCCCGCCGCCGCGCGCGTCACCCCGGCCCCTGCTGGCCCACCGCCATGGGGGCGTCCGCGCGGCTGCTGCGCGCCGTGATCATGGGGGCCCCCGGCTCGGGCAAGGGCACCGTGTCGTCCCGCATCACCCAGCACTTCGAGCTCAAACACCTCTCCAGCGGGGACCTGCTGCGACAGAACATGCTGCAGGGCACAGGTGGGAGCCGGGCCGGGGCGCGCCGGGGCGCTTGGCGGGCGGAGGGCCGGGGCCAGGGGGTCTGCGGAAAGTGGGGAGGGGGTAATCGGGCACAGCGCACCCCCAAACTTCCGGTTTGGGTGGACAGCCTGGGGTCAGCGGGGAGGAGGGGGGGGGTAACTAACTCCAAGTTCACAGATGGAAAGAAAGGAAAAGCGCTCGGCTTTGCCGGGGAGGCGCCCCCTCGCAGCTGTTTTGGGGTGCGCTGTGTGTGTGTGTGTTTGGAAGGGTCATCGGGCAGAGCTTGTTTTCTGTCTCCATGTGTCCTTGTTCGTAGGGATCCGGTCTGGTCTGGCTCTGCTCGGGTTGCTCTTTTCCTTACTTTGATTCCCCCCCCCCCCCCCCCCCGCCCTTGGGTGATTGTAGCTCCGACCTTGTCTTCGTTCATCTCAAAGCCGATTATTATTTAACCCTACTTGCCAGCACGAAACAGGTTTAGACACCCCCCCCCCCCCCCCCCCCCGCCTCCGATAGTTCTGAAGACACAGACGACAGCGATCCGTGTCGGAGATTACATAAAAGATGGTGGTGTTGCTCGTGTGGAATGCGTCCTTGTAACTTTGCACAATGCCATCTTCGTGGACTCGTGTGCTTGGCCGTGGGTGACTGTGTGTGGCGTGTTACTTCGACCGGAAGACGTCTATTTTTGTCTTGTTTTTTTGAGACGGGGTCTCACTAGGTAGCTCAGGCTGGCCTCGCGTTCTTAATCCTCCTTCCTCCCCCTCCCAGGCTCTGGGATGACAGGAGTGAGTCATGGCCTCTCCACTGGCTGGCTGTGAGTGGCTCGTGACTATCATCCAAGCCACTGGGGAAGTTGAGACTTGAGGGTTGGAGAGTGGATGCAAGTCCAGACAGAAACAAACAAGGGATTCCCATCTCCAATGATAGCTAGTAAAATGATGGACTGGAGATGTGGCCCAAGTGGTAAAGTGCCAGCCATGAGCACAAAAAGCTGAATAAAAAAGCCAAGGGCAAACACAAAGCACTGAACTCAAGCGTGCACACACACACACACACACACACACACACACACCATCACCACGACCACCAACAACTATTACCTCAGTACATTCTTTTTTTTTTTTTGCCAGTCCTGGGGCTTGAATTCAGGGCCTGGGCACTGTCCCTGAGCTTCTTTTGCTCAAGGCTAGCACTCTACCACTTGAGCCACAGCGCCACTTCTGGCTTTTTCTATTTATGTGGTACTGAGGAATCGAACCCAGGGCTTCATGCATGCTAGGCAAGTACTCTACCACTAAGCCACATTCCCAGCTCATGCATACATTCTTCACCACCTAAGTGTTGACCTTTACTTCCAAAACTGAACTCATGTTGAAATTAATTTTGAATCATTTTGAATCTCATTTTTGAATCTTTGCTTAAAATAGTGCCTTTACTTGGTTCAAAAAAAAAAAAAAAGGAAAAAGGCTTGGATAAGATAGATGGAAGAAAAGTACATACAGTAAAAACAAACAAAAAAAACAAAAAAAAACCCACAAAGCTTTCTCTCATTTCCTGCCTCATTCCCACTCTTCAGAGAGGAAAAGTATGTTTCCTTCTAGAAACACCTATTTATGTTCAGACACTCCGGTGCATATCCTGTATGTACTATGTAACCATATTATATTCTGCTCAGCACCAGTGTTTTCACAAAGTATTAGGCCTATCTTTCCTCATGGCGATGGGCAAATCCATTGCATTATGCTTCTAGAAGATGGATTTGCTGAATCTGTTATGATAAATTTAGCCAGTCCCCTCTTTCTTTTTGCTTATGTGGTGCTGAGGAATTGAACCCAGGGCCTCATGCATGCAAGGCAAGCGCTCTACCACTGAGCCACCTTCCCAGCCCCCCAGTCCCCTCTTAATGAACATCTAGGTTATTCCCTGTTTGTTCTGTGTAAAGAAATACTGATATTTGATTAAAGAAAAAACCCAATGTGTATAGATTTATTTATGCCAGACCTGGGGCTTGAACTCAGTGCCTGAGCATTTTTTGGTCAAGGCTAGTGCTCTACCACTTGAGCCACAGCTCCACTGCCATTTTTTCTCATGGTTAATTGCAGATAAGAGTTTCATGGATTTTCCTGTTCAGGCTGTCATGGAACCTCCATTCTTTCAGATTTCAGCCTCCTACAGGAGTGAGCCACTGGCTCTTGGCCAGTGCTTTTACTTTATCTCTTAAAGTTCTTTGGTTCTCAACCCTGCATATTTTGCAACATCTTATTCTCTTTTAGCATTTATCTTAAAAACATAATAAAGTTTCTTTTAGTTAATTAAGTTTATCCAACCAAAGGTTAAATTGTCTACTCTTGCTAAATGTTCTTGATGCAACATACTGAATTCATTAGGTAACAGGGAGCAGGCAGGAGCAATGTGGAAGGTCTCTGGGTGTTAGGCTATCCAAACTACAAACAATACCTGGTTAGCAAGTTGCATCTCCAGCCTTGGCTCCTAAAGGAGTTATCTGAAAATGACTGAGCAGTGAACCATAACCTTCAGTGAGGTTCATTTTCAGCAAGAAATGTTTGCTAATTTGTTGAAACAGGTAACATTTTCGAACAGTACATTTCAAAGCTATTCTCATAAACTTTTAAAAGTGAAGAAACAATGTTTCTTTCTTATCCTTAACACTCCCTGACACTTTTGCTCTTCCCTTCCCTGTAACTTCAAATATGAACAAAGCAGCACCTGCCCAGACTGCTGCTGCTGCTTCTTCTTCTTCGGAGGTGGTGGTAGTGGTGGTGGTTAATTGGAGGTAAGGAGTCCCATAAACTTTCCCACGTATGCTGGCTTCAAACTGTGATCCTCAGATGTCAGCCTCCTGAGTAGCTAAGATTACAAGCGTGAACCACTGGTACCAGGCCATTCTGCTTATTATTATTATTTTTTATTGTTATTGTGAGAATACCGTACAGAGGAGTTACAATTACATGGGCAAGATAACGAGTACATTCCTTATCAAGCATTGTTGCCTCCTCTTTGTTTCCCCTTCCCATCCCTTTCCATCTTCCTCCCACCTCCCCCCACCTGATCCCCCCTCCCCCCACCAAAGTTGTAAAGTTCGTTTTTCAACATAACGACTTGAACATCTCATTGTTGCAATGGGTCCACCTGTATCCCAAGTTAAACGATTTGTTTTTTCCCTTCCACTCCACAAATGGGAAATGTTTCTTTAAATAAAAACTAGAAGAGAACTAGAATGTCATGAGAGAAGTTTGCAGGGTCATGGTTCAAAAGGGGTGAGGTGTTCTACTCCAGCTAGGGAAAGCTTCCAGCCAGCCCCCAAGGGATCTGTAACTGGCTCATCCACCTGCTAAAGTTCTTCAAAGAAGATGGACTTTTTTTAAAAAACAAAGAGAGCAGAAAATGGAGCTTGGGAGGTGTCCAGAGATTGCTATTACAGTTGTTATGAATAATCTGTTGTTACAGATTGTTCTTTCAGAACTCAATCTGACACTCTCCTGCACCTCAGGGCTAAGAATATATTCCCAACAAATATTTAGGGATAGATTGGATATTTCCACAGGATCAGAGCCAAAAACAATGTAATGTTCATTCTGCTTTATGTTTTCTTATACTATAGGCAAAGCATTATCAAAGGGAGAAAATGTTATTAGAATGTAAGAAGCAAAATTAAAATTATCCATAGTGCTGTCTCGCTACACAGAGACAAATTGTAGCTAACTCAGAGTATTCTTTTTTCTTTCCTTCTTTCTTTCATTTTTTTCTTGCTCCTTTGTTTCATTTTTGTGTATTTATAAAATTATTATGCTTTTGATACTTTTTGTGGTAGTGGGATTTGAACCAGAGCTTCACGTTGCTAGGCTGGCTACTCTACTACTTAACCCACATTTCTACTCCAATTTTTTTGCTGGTTATTTTGGAGATGGAATCTAGCAAACTTTTCTTCCCAGACTGGCTTCAAACTGTAATCCACAGATCTCAACTTTCTGAGATCGTATTTGAGGATTACAGGTGTGTGAGTCACCAGTGCTCAACCTATTTTGGGTACTTTTTATTCTCATTTATTGTGTGCATATTCACACATTATTAAGCAGCCTTAGGATTTAATTTCCTAATAGAGGGTGGTGAATTTGATCAAAGTACATTATATGCATACATGGAATAACACAATAAAACCCTGGCTATAATCTCAGCTACTTGGGAACAGAGATCAGGAGGACTAAGGTTTGGAGCCCGTCCAGCCCAAAAGATCATCTCAGTCTGAGGCCTGGGCAAAAACTTGAGACCTCATCAAGAAAATAACAAAAGCAAAAAAAGACCATTAATATGTCTCAAATGGTGAAACCACGCTAGCAAGAAGCTTTTAGTTCAATCCCCAGTAACACACACACACACACACACACACACACACACACACACTGAGTTTAACCATTTTTCTCTTTTTTTTTTTGTTGGTCATGGTGCCTGAACTCTGGGCCTGGGTGCTGTCCCTCAGCTCTTCAACTCAAGGCTAGCGCTCTACCACTTGAGCCTCAGCACTACTTCTGGCTTGTTTTTTGCTTAAGTGGTACTGAGGAATTAAACCCAGGGCATTATGCATGCAAGGAAAGCACTCTACCACTGGACCACCTTCCCAGTCCTAACCATTTTTCCTTTTATTGGGCCTGTATGTCATTACCATTGTTTGCTGTCAAATAAATGATTATAAATTATCCTGTACATGAACATGCAGAAGCATCTCGATTCCCCTCAAGACAATTCTTAGTGAGGAGGTTTATGAAGGTGCTGCATTTATAACCCATGGCTATGTTTCATAGCTAAAGCTTAAAATCACCCCCAGGAGATCGCTGCTCTTTTAGTTTAAAATGCATATGCTTTGAGCATTCCTTCTAGGAGTATTATCAGTATTACCTGTTTGGACCTTGGAGTTTTCCTCATCTGGACACGTGATTTAAAATATAACTTCTCGCTGAGCTGGGCACTGGTAGCTCATGCCTGTAATCCTAGCTGCTCAAGAAGCTGAGATCTAAGGATCAGGCTTTGAGAGAAGCCTACACAGAAAAGTTTGAGACACTCTTATTTCTAATTAACCAGGAAAAAGCCAGAAGTGGAACTGTGGCTCAAGTGATAGAGTGCTAGCCTTGAGCAAAATAAGCTCAGGGTCAGCACCCACATGTGAATCTATTTCTTCTGTGTTTGTGTTTTACACAAATGATCGCACGCTGGACACAGTGTTCTGAACCTTGAACAATATTGCTTTCCAAAAGGAGTGTTCTATGTCATTTTTTCCCCTAGCAGCTTTGTAGAGATATGATTCATATACAGTGTCACTTTCAGTGCAATGGAATGTATAATCAGAGAGCTGTGCAAACATCACAATGAATTTCAGAATATTTTCATTGCTCACAGAAGAAACTTATTTGTTATTCCATTTCTGTCCCCACCTGAGCCTCTAGCGACAGTAATTATGCTTGTGTATCTGTTCGTTTGCTTATTGTTGTCATTTCATACAAATGAAATTGTATGTTGGGAGCTGTGGCTCGTGCCTGTAATCCTAGCTACTTCAGAGTCTGAGAACTGAGGATCACAATTCAAAACCAGCCTGGGCAGGAGAGTCTGTGAGACTCCTATGTCCAATTAACCAGCAAAAAGCCAGACTTAGAAGTGTAGCTTCAATGGTAAAGCACCAGCCTTGAATGAAAAGCTAAGCAGGAGCTCAAGGCCCTAATTTTGAGCCCCAGTATTAGCACAAAAACAAACAAAATAACCAGACAATGACAAGTGGAATTATACAAAATATGGTCTTTTCTGTCAGTTTCATAGTCAATAGGCATAATTGTGTTGCTTTGTGTTAAGAGACAGCATATCAACATGTTGTCTAGGCTAGCCCTAAACTCCTGGGAACAAGCAATCCTACCCCAGGATTGCATATCAGACCAGCTTATCCTAGTGTTGATCAGAATTCACTGTATTGTACTGTTTGTTAGTATTCCATTCCTTTTTATTGTTCAATTATATTGCATTGCATGAATAGGATACATTTTACTTCTCCATTCATGAGTTGATGGACATTTGGATTCTTTTTTCTTTTTCTGTTGCTTTGTAGGTATAAGTAGCTTAAAGAGCAATTTATCAAATATTGTCTTAAAGGAAGTGTGTTTTTTTAAAAACTGGATTGTTAAATTTTAACCAAGTAGGTTAGGCCTTTTAAAATTCATGGTAAATGCACAGGTACACAAAAGCATGAACTGAACTGTGGCGTTCGCAGGGGAGGATTCCAGTGGGGTAACTCCCTGAACAACTAAGTTACAGTCTGGCAAAATGAATAGCAGGAAGCTAGCTAGTACTTATGGTTTGGGGGTAGGGAGGGTGAGGTCAAGGGAAAGGGAGGAGATGAATGAAGAGAAGTAGGCTAATGCAGTCATAATAGTCAATGTATATAGGTGAAAATGGAACTAGGAGGGGCTGAGAAGGTGGCTCAGTGGTAGAGCGCTTGCCTTGCATGCCTAAGGCCCTGGGTTCGGTTCCTCAGCACCACATAAGCAAAAAGAAAAAAGCCAGAAGTGGCGCTGTGGCTCAAGTGGTAGAGCACTAGCCTTGAGCTGAAGAGCTGAGGGACAGCGCCCAGGCCCAGAGTTCAGGCCCACGACCGGACCCCCCCCAAAAAAAAATGGAACTAGGAAAAATGAGGAGATGAGTGGGGTTGGGAGAGATAGGAGAGAATGAGGGAAGCCGTGACACTGACCAAGCTACAGTGCACTCCTCAACTGCCATGTTGAATGGAAATCTTTTTGTACAGCTACTTAAAGATAATATAATAATAATAACAACAATAACAACAACAATACAGAAATTGTAACAAACAAACAAGCTTGGCTGGAATCCAGGAGACTCCTGGTCCTCCTCTCTGTCCATACCCACACACCCATTCATGGGGCCATGAAGCACCTGCCAAGTGCTAGGACCTGAACATACCCAGAGTAGATCTCACTGGTTTCAGCAAAAGTCACAGGGCCTGGGGGTAGGAGGGCAAAGGAAATGTATTTTAGTCAGCATACCACCACAGGTAGCCAAGGTAGCAGAATTTCCTTCCTTCCTTCCTTCCTTCCTTCCTTCCTTCCTTCCTTCCTTCCTGCCTGCCTGCCTCCCTCCCTTTCTTTCCTTCCCCTTTCCTTCCTTTCCCTTCCCTCCCCTCCCTTTCCCTTCCCTTCCCTCCCCTTTCCTTTCCTTCCCTCCCTTCTCCTTCCCTCCCCTCCCCTTCCTCTTTTTTTCCTTCCTTTTTGTGCTGGTATTAGGGTTCCAACTCAGGGCCTGGCACTGTCCATTAGTTTTTTGTTTGTTGGTCATGGGCCTTGAACTCTGGGTCTGGACACTGTCCCTCAGCTCTTCAGCTCAAGGCTAGTGCTCTACCACTTGAGCCACAGTGCCACTTCTGGCTTTTTCTGCTTATGTGGTGCTGAGGAATCAAACCCAGGACCTCATGCATGCAAAGCAAGCACTCTACCACTGAGCCACCTTCCCAGCCCTGTCCATTAGTTTTTATTTTCAAGGCTGGCATTCTATTTGAACCACACTTCCACTTCTGGCTTTTCACAGGTTAATTGGAGATGAGTTCTCCCAGCTTTGTCTGCCTGAACTAGATTTGAACCACAATCCTCAGATCTCAGCCTCCTGAATTGTTAGGATTACAAGTGTGAGCCAGCAGTGCCCAGCCTGAATTCCTTTTCTTAGAGTCTAAATGATGCACTGTAAGAGTTGGTACCGGGTGTGGTACCAACGGTTCTCTCATGTCTTTTCCTGTATCCTTGAATAGGAACACTATTTTGTATCAGATTACAACACTTACAACTTCATTCAATCTTAGTTACTCTGTTAGAGTCCTGTTGGTAAATATTATACACATTTAGAAGGTAGGATTTCGATATTTAGATTTGGGGCTGGCACAGTTCCATCCATAACAGCATGCAGACACATAGTTTTGGCAGTGTTGTAGAGAAGCCTGTGGTATTATGGAAGTCTGAAGGGAGAAGTTTCGATTGCGTAGAAGGACGATGGATACTTTTCTATATTTTTCTTTAAGATACATTTTGTGCCAGGCACTGGTGGCTGTAATCCTAGCTATTCAGGTGGCTGAGATATTAGAATCAAGGTTCAAAGCCATTCAGGGCAGGAAATTCCATGAGACTCTTATCTCCAATTAACCACCAGAAAACTGGAAGTGGAGGTGTGGCTCAAAGTGGTAGAACACTAGCCTTGAGTGAAAGAACTCAGGTACAGCACCCAGGCCCTGAGTTCAAGCTCCACGACCAACAAACTAAAGTGTATTTTAAACTCAGCTCTTCATGACCCCCCAGCCCTTTTTCCTCAGCCTCTCACAATAGGAAGGATTGTGATTTGAGGTCAGTGCAGGGAAAGAGTTTAGAGATACTATCACAACAGGGGGGAAAAAGCTAGATGTGGCAGGAAGCACCTTTCATCCCAAATATGGCAGAAAATGTAAATAGGATTGTGGTCCAGACTAGACCAACCAAAAAGTGAGAGCATACCTATAAAATCAGAACACATAGGGTTGGGAAGATGGCTTAAATGGTAGAGCACCTGCCTCAAAAGCATTAAACCTAGAGTTCAATATCCAATACTCCCTCCCCCCCCCCAAAGATACATAAAGTATCTTGGTAGGAGAATGGAGAGGAAGACCTTGAAGACAAGGAAGGTCTTGAAAAATAAGTGTCTTTGTTTCTGTTGCGGAAATTCAATCTCTGACACTGGGTCGTTTAGAACACGCTGTTTCTAATCCTGCTACTATACTTGTCAAATGGTGGCCACTTTCCAAGCAGTGTATTCTTAGCTAAGCTCAAATTTCATGAATTTGACGAGTTGGAATTTGTGTGGGGGTCAGTATGGCAAGAGGAATCAAGAAAATTGTCATAAATACTTTACTCTTTAATCTGATTTCTGAGAATGTAGCAGGAATACATTCAGAAGAATAAAAGAAAACAAGAAAGGATAGCAAAATTGTAAAAGTAATGAAAAGCTAAGAGCAACTATATAATTGAAATGTTCAAGAGTATTGTTTTATATGGCTCATAAATCCTATTTTAGCATGTCTTACTAATAAGGGTGATATGTTTATTGCTGGTGTGGTCAGACTTGAATTCTGTCATGGTGACAGCAACTTAGAGGTTTAGAAACATCTCAGCACTAACAAATAATGACAGACACTTAAACTGAGCCACCTCAGAACGGTCGCTATTCTCTATTTATTCCAAGGGAAAATAATTTTATTTATTATCTGTCTTTTTTATCTGATGGAAATCTTCAAAAAAAAAAATACAGAAAAGCACAAAGATGTTAAAACCACCCAAATATTTGTATCTCACAGAGATGACTTCTGTCAATGTGTTGGCCTATAGTTTTGCATTCTTTTCTTTTTCTGTGAACATATTTACATATTTATAGTTTTATATCCCAGAGGATTGGAAATGCGCTGAAATTATTTCATAAACTAGTGCTTTCTTTTGGTAGAAAGATGGGTGATAACACATTTTCTTTTAGGCATGTAGTGATGAGGCCTTCTTGAGAGAACTCTTTTCCAGGGGCCTGGAATTGAATCAAACAAATGCACTTACTGCTTTCCCTTCCTCTGCTGTAGAAATTGGTGTGTTAGCCAAAACATTCATTGACCAAGGCAAGCTCATCCCCGATGATGTCATGACTCGCCTGGCCCTTCATGAGCTGAAAAATCTCACCCAATATAACTGGCTGTTGGATGGTAAGTGTGGCCTGCAGAACTTTTTCATTGCCTGGCAGGAGAATGAGTATTTGGGGGCTGTGGACAGTTGTCAACAATGCAAGCAGGGACCTGAGTTTTGTCCGTTTACCAGGCTTAGGTCTTGGGCCAATCACCTTCTTTTGAGCCTCGTTCTTTATCTCAAAGGAAAGAAGGAATGACTTCTAGGTTCCTTCAGACGTGACTACATCCTTCTCCTACCCTCCTATTTTTGGGACTCTGTGTGTGTGTGTGTGTCTGTGTTGTGTCTGTGTGCCAATCTTGGGGCTTGAACTATCCCTGAGTTTTTTTGCTCAAGGTTAGTGCTCTACCACTTGAACTATCTGGCTTTTTGCTGGTCAGTTGGAGATAAGAGTCTCCTATACTTTACTGACTGGGGTGGCTTTGAACTATGATCCTCAGATTTCAGCCTCCTAAGTAGCTAGAATTACAGGCATGAGCCACTGGCACTCAGCTTAGATTATTTTATGATAAGGAAGGATTGCCACAAAAGAAGGAAGCTCCAATAGTAACTTAACAATAGTTGTAGGAGCCTTCCTCTACCACCTGTCAGTCATGGCAAACCCTTAAGAACAACTGTTTTTGTGTTAGCAAACATTTCTTAAGTGTTACTTGGTTCATATGAGGAGAACACAAAAGAGATTAAAAATAAATAGGATTAGCATTTCCTCCAAAATTCAAGTTACAATGTAACATTCTGGTTTGGAAGTAGATATGCTAGTCTAGTTTTGCTGTTTCTGTTGGCTTCTCTCAAACTCCTATTTCTGCATATTCATGCACAAGCACTCAATACTGCCCCCACCCTCATCTGCCTGATCACTTGCTTTATTCAAGAAGCTGTACTATTTTCTAATCGCACAAAGGTTCTACATAGACCCCATTTGTACCAGGAAAGCGAAGGAGAGGATGAATGAAGGGGAATGGTTGGACAGAGTCTAGTTTGCTACTTGGAACTCGTTTCAGGAAGAGGAAACTGATCAGGATTGCCCACAGAAAAGTCAACAGGAAAGAGCTGTTGACCACAGCTGCTGTCAATATTTGCACAAAATCTTGAGGACTCAGTTCTTTAAAAAAATTTAAATGTATATTTTTTATTATAAAGATATTGTATAGAGGTTCCAGTTACATGAGCAAGGTAATGAGTCCATTTCCTATTGAGCATTGTTACCTCCTCTTTTGATTTTCCCCTACCATCCCTTTTCCCCCCACCTCCCCTACTCCCCCCCTACTCTGGAAGTTGTAAAGTTTGTTTTCAACATAGTGTCTCGTACATCTCATTGTTACAATGGGTCATCCTGTATTCTTATTTCAGCATTTTGTTATTTCCCTTCCCCTCCCCAAATTAGAGAAATGTAGATACAAGATGCAGGACACCAGAATCAAATACAGTGACAACAGGGGTTATACCATGGGGGAAGAACCTACAAAGAAAAACAGAAAAGGGCTAGGAAGGTGGCTCAGTGGTAGAGTGTTTGCCTTGCATGCATGAGGCCCTGGGTTTGATTCCTCAGCACCACATAAGCCAGAAAAAACTGGAAGTGGCGATGTGGCTCAAGTGGTAGAGCGCTAGCTTTGAGCTGAAGAGCTGAGGGACAGCGCCCAGGCCCAGAGTTCAGGCCCCACGACTGACAAAACAACAACAACAAAAATCTCAGAAGTTCTTAAAAAAACATTTATGGACAGGCTTTGGTGTGCAGAGACTATGCTAAACACTGGATGCTGTCCGAACCCCATCTTCATATCCTCAACATACAATATTGACAGAATGCCTTCTGTGGGCCAAAAGCTGTTTTAGAACCTGAACCTCAGTGTGAACATGATCCTTGGCTTTGCCTTCTTTTGAGCCTCGTTCTTTATCTCAAAGATGAAGGCCCGTGGTGAAGTAGACCATGACGGAAAGTGTGGTACAGCCATGCTGTTGACATTATGGCAGCCAGGAAGCTGAGAAGAGACAGGAAGGCCTAGGGACGCAGATGTCTTTCCAAATTGTGTCCCCAACCTCCCAGTGGCCTACTTCCTCCAGCCAGGCTCCACCTTCTAATTAATGTGACCCAGTCTATCAATGGGTTAATAGATGAACTCAGATCCTTTGTTATTCAATCATCTACTGATAAGAGACCAAACTTTCAACTCATGAATTTTGAGAGACACTTGATATATAGACCATAAGATCTCTCTCTCTCTCCACACACACACACACACACACACACACACACATACACACACACACACTTTACGTTTTGCCTTTCCACTGAATTAAACTAGATTTTAACAGACTTGTCTCATGGAAATAAAAGATGCAGAAGCTTCCATTTTTGTGTATGTGTCTGTCATATTTTAATCCCTTCTGAGGAACATTTGGGTAGCATCTGGCTTTTCACTGTTTGGAATGATGCTGTAAAGAAAAATATCCTTCTGTTTTTCTTGGTAGATGGTATTTTTGACTGATCTTTTTCCCCCCCTGGAAGTTTGGTTCTAAGTTTCTGAGTAGAACTAAACTGAAAACTCAGCAGTTACAAGCACAAGTGGTAGGTTAAACAATTTGTGTTCACATCCCAATAGCTTTGTGAGCTAGATAGAGCAAGGTTCTGATTCTTACTGTGCCCTTGTTTGCTCATTGGTAAAGCAGGAACAGAACTATTTCTCAACTATTTTGACAACTGAAAGAAATGATCTGTGTGTGTGTGTGTGTGTGTGTGTGTGTGTGTGTGTGTGTGTGTGTGTGTCTGAGAGGGGAGGGAGAGAGAGTTCTAGGGCTTGAACTCAGGGATTCACACTCTCCTGTACTTTTTTTCACTCAAGGCCGAGGCTCCACCATTTGATCCACACCTCTACTTTTGGCTTTTTTGGTGATTAATTGGAGATAAGAGTCTCACAAACTTTTCCGCTTGGGCTGGCTTTAAACCTTGATCTTTAGATCTCAACCTCCTGAGTTGTTAGCATTACAGGCATGAGCCACTGACACCAGGGTAGAAATGATCCTTATAAAAATATTTGACACACAGATCCAGGCACGTGGAAAATACTTCCTGGATTTACCTATTATATCCCTTTTATTCTCATTGAATATAGTATAATTAAATTATCAGGGCCACTTACTTCATTGTAAAATTTTTAAATAAATGCTTGATTTGTTATTAAAATTTGGGTCTAAATAAGATTTTTTTTTAACCAGTTATGGGGCTTGAACTCAGGGCCTGGGTGCTGTCCCTGAGTCTCTTTGTGCTCAAGGCTAGCACTCTAACACTTCAGCCACAGCGCCACTTCTGGCTTTTTCTGTTTATGTGCTAATGAGGAATTGAACCCAAGGCTTCATGCATGTTAGGCAAGCACTCTACCACTAAGCTACATTCCCAGCCCCTAAATAAGATTTTTATTGATTGAACTCTTCACAAGTATAAGCTTTCTTTGGAGTCTGTTTGCCCAACTCTAGATTTCTTGTCATTTTTATCATTATAAAACTTAAACCACAGGAAAATTTTTCTATATGTCAGTGTTAACTGTATATATATATATATATATATACACACACACACACACACACACACACACACACACACACATATACATACATGTATATACATATATACTATATGCACATATTTACATATATATATACACAAAGACATGTATACATACATATATGTGAATACATATATATTTATGTATATGTTATGTGTATATATATATACACATGATAATATTTAGTTCTAATGAATTACATATGTATAGTTATAAACTTTGTCTCTTTGGAAAAATATTTCTACTCATTTAAAATTTTCAGGACAATATATCTTTAGACAACACTGCAAAGTAAAATACACTGGGGATCAATTTTTTTTTTTGCCAGTAGTGGGTCTTGAACTCAGGATTTGGATGCTATCCCAGAGCTCTTTTGCTCAAGGCTAACATTCTACCACTTTGAGCCACAGCGCTGCTGCTTCTGATTTTCTGGTGGCTAGTTGGAGATAAGAATCTTACCGACTTTCCTGCCCAGCCTGGCTTTGAACCACGATCCTCAGATCTCAGCCTCCTGATTAGCTACGATTACAAACATGAGGCACTGGAACCTGGCTCAACATATTATTTTATTTTTTTGTCAGTGTGGGGCTTGAACTCAGGGCCTGGGTGCTGTCCTTGAGCTTTTCTGCCTAAGGCTAGTGCTCTACCATTTTAAGCCATAGCACCACTTCCACCAACATATTGTTTTAAATTCCCTGGTATACTTGTGTCCCTTTCTGGACTCATCAATCCGCTCTATTTGCCTTTCTCTGTACTGCTGATCCACACTGTTGAGTGTTCTGTATCTGGAATCCTTGTGGCCCTTGTACTCTGGGATTTTCGTGTAGATTCTACCAGTTGAACATTCTGAATCTGAAAATCTCAAATCCAAAAGGCTCCAAAATCCAAAACTTTCTAAGCATTACTTGATTTCAGATTTTTTAAAAAAATATTTTGATTAGGAACCCTCAAGTTGTATGAACTGATTTATCTGTTGTGACTTTTCTTCTGCTTAAATAGTTTTCTGTCATGTTTCCACAAACATGGAGATTATGGGAGCAGTCGATGAGTTCTGGTTTGTGTGTTTGTTTTGTGATATCATCTCCCTGTGTAACCCAGACTGGCCTCATGCTCATGATCTTCCTGTCTCACTCACCACGAGCTGGTATTATCAGCCCAATCACCAAGCCTGACCTGAATCCAGTCTTGCTCAAAAGCAAGAAAAGGTGTAAGTCCCAGTTAGATGGCAGGCAGGCAAGACGAATTCTCTGTGACTTGGAGGCTCTGATCTTCATTTTATTCAGGATTTCAAACTGTTTGGCTGAGACCCATCTGCATTAGAGAGGGCAAGACACATTAGTCCATCTACTCATGTAAGTTACTTTTACACAAAAACCACACTCACATGCATGCACACCCAGTATAGTTGCTTAATTATCTGGGCATTCCATGACCTCGTTACCAAGACAAGAAAAAAATAAAAGTCATAACTCATATACTAGAGTTGTGATCAGCCCATCTGGTGTTATAGTTTGGGATCAGTCTACCCAACATTAATTTGTTCTCCTTTCTCTCTTTCCATCTCCTTTTCCTTCTTTCATTGTCTTTCCTCCCCTCACCCTCCCTTTCTTCCTGTTTATTATTTATAAAGGTTTCCCAAGGACCCTTCCACAGGCAGAAGCCTTGGATAAAGCTTATCAAATAGACACAGTGATTAACCTGAATGTGCCTTTTGAGGTCATTAAGCAGCGCCTCACTGCCCGCTGGATTCATCCAGCCAGTGGCCGAGTCTACAACATAGAATTCAACCCTCCCAAAACTGTGGTGAGTAGTTGCAGTGGAACCAGCAGAGAGCAGATGGTTCACCCGGTCTCCTTGCCCTCACAGATTGAAGTTTGGTGAACATGGACTTCTTTTTGAGAAAAACTTCAGGGGGTTTCTAGTTTCAGGCTACATCGTGGCACAGTGACACGTCTAATTCCCTTGGTGCCTCTGCAGCCACAGGGGTTTGCTACGCATTCAGAAGCGTTATGTAACGGATTTGTGGACTGGTCACCGCTGGGTATAACTACTTCAAGATGAAGGGAAAAGAAATGAAAACAAGTATCCTATTTGAGCCTGCAATGTCTTTCACAGGCTCCTTGTGTTGAGTCCTTGGTCTCCAGCCGGTGGCTCTATTTTGGGAGGTGGTGGCATTGTTTTGGGAGATGACAGTTCACCTTTGGAAGGTGGTGGAAACTCATAGGTGGAGCCTAGCCAGAGGAAGTAGTCACTGGGGGTGGTGGTGGTGGTGGGGTAATGTCTTTGAAGGTTATACCCGATCCTGGGTCCATCGCTTGCTCTCTGCTTTCTGTCTCCCAGGGGTAAAGAAATTGCTTTGCCACATGCCCCTGCTGCCCAAGCAATCCTAGACTGGAACCACTGAAACCTTGAGCCAAAATAAACAATTCTTCCCGTGAAGATGTTTTTCATAAGCCAGGCACTGGGGGCTCACGCCTGTAATCCTAGCTATTCAGGAAGCTGAGATCTGAGGATTGTGGTTTAAAGCCAGCAGGAGCAGGAGATTCATCTCTAATTAACTACCAGGAAAAAAAAAGAGAAGTGGTTCAAAGTGGTAGAGCACTGGCCTTGGTCAAAAGAGCGCAGGGACAGTGCCTGGGCCTGAGTTCAAGCCCCATGACCGACTGGGGGAAAAAAAAAGGATGTGTTTCTCAGATACTAATCAGGGAAGAGAAAATTAACACATTAAAAGTTTTGATTTCCTGGGCTGGGAAGGTGGCTCAGTGGTAGAGCGCTTGCCTTGCATACCTGAGGCCCTGGGTTCGATTCCTCAGCACCACATAAGCAAAAAGAAAAAAGCTGGAAGTGGCGCTGTGGCTCAGGTGGTAGAGCGCTAGCCTTGAGCTAAAGAGCTGAGGGACAGCGCCCAGGCCCAGAGTTCAGGCCCATGACCGGACCCCCCCCAAAAAAATTTTGGATTTCCTATTCCATTATTCTGTGGTAGGGAATGAATGAGTTAAGAGCAGAGGCACCAAGAACTGGACACTGGTTACAGTTAAAATTATTCGTCTGTAGCTGAGTCTTTTTATATATATAAATTATATACCTCTACATATATTTAGAGACTATATAAAAATCATATGTATTTATGTATATAAATAAATATATTTATATTTTATATAGCTATAAATTATATAAAATGATAATGTATATATAAATATATACAATATATTTACATATATTTATGTTTATATATAACATATTTCTATATATTTAGAGGCTATGTATCAATATATGTAAATATATGTATGTATTTACATGCATTTTTATTTAGAGGCTGGTTAGAAAACCTTTCTACCAGGAAGTGACTGATACTCCGTGTTAGTCTTTCTGTTACAGTAACATACAAGCAAGTCATAAGGTAAACGGTTTATTTGGACTCACAGTTTGGGAGGTTCAACCCATGAGTTAGCTGTTGCTTTGGGGCCTGTGGTGAGGCAGTCTAGCATGGTGGGGGGTGGGTGGCAGAGCAAAACCACTCACCTCTGATTGCAGAACCAAATAAAAGCGACAGGAGGCCAGGTCTGGTGGCTTGAACCTGAAATCCTAGCTATTTGAGTGGCAGAGATAGGAAGGAAGCCCAGTTTGAAGCCAGTCCAGGCAAAAAAAGTGAGACTTTCTCTCAACCCACAAGCCAGGAATAGTAACGTATGCCTGTCATTTCAGCTGTGCAGGAAGTGAAAGTAGCAGGACTCTGGTCCAGAATGACCAGAGCAGAAACTGTGATACTCTGCCTAAACAAATAACTAAAGCAGCAAAGTTGTAAGAGTTGCGGCTCAAGTGATAGAGCACCAGCCTAGAGGCTGTTGAGTTCAAACCCCAGAATCACTGAGAAAGGGACCCTGTAGTCATAATCCCACAGTTCTCTTCAAGGGCACATCCCTAATGACCTAAGACTTTCTACCACCTTCCAATTGCTATGGATGGAGAATCAAACTTTCAACAATACATAGGCTTTGGGGTAAGGCCAGGATTGGGGGAGGCAGTCATTCCAAATCTAAACTGTCTGTAATACTTATGGAAACGAGTCTAGGGTCTCCTGGCTCTGTACTGGATGATCTGTTAGGGTTGGGTTCTGTTTATTTGGGGTTGGTGCTTGCACAGAGAAGATGTTTAAAAAAAGAACTGAACTGCTTATAAAAATATCCTTCAAAGATATATTTGGTAGCAGTCTTGTGACTTCCATGTAGGGCATTGATGATCTGACGGGAGAGCCTCTGATTCAACGGGAGGATGATAAACCAGAGACAGTGGTCAAGAGACTGAAAGCTTATGAAGCCCTAACTGAGCCAGTCCTGGAGTATTACCAGTGAGTATTCTGCCTTTCTGAACTTCTCTTGCATATGATGAATTGCATGAGTTTACCATACTTGACAGCAAACATGTTGAAAAAAAGAAAACGCAGAAAAACCCAACCAGTGCCAATTCCAATTGGTATACTAATAAAGGAAATTTATTAGCTTATGTTATGCAATAAGGAAGACCAACAGGTAGCAGGGCTTCAAGTCACTGAGATTTTGAGCAGTTTTGTCATTCACATAGCTTTACCTGCCTTTGTATACTGGCTTTGTCCTCAGGCATCCTGCATGGTTGCAGATATTGCCAGGAATCATAGGGCTTCCTGTTTCATGAAGGGCCTGAGCAGTAACCTTTTACCTAATGGAGAGAAGGTCCAAGCGTAATGGAACTTACAATAGTTAGAGCCTGCCCTCCTGATCCCTGCACTGATCTGGGAGGGGTTACAATGATTAGCCACACCCAGAGCTGGGACAAAGCCAGTCTCACTCTAATGCTGCCAGGTAGTAGAGAGGGGGCTGGACTGAGTCTTGAGGCAAATCCAGTAATGCCCTCCACATGTCTCCACGTGTGCCCATGAACATGCTTTAGCACAGAATCTCAAACGACGACCAACCCTCAGATCATTTATTTGGCTACATAGGCTTTCCAAAGCTACTAGCCTAACATGATTTTGTCTGCTTTTCAAAGAATTCAAATCATACAACTAACTTGAGGACTATCTATATGGAGTTAATATTTGACTCAGGCTAACAAACCCTTGTTTCCTTACTTACCTCTTCTTCTTTTCTCCTTCTCCTCTTCCTCCTTTTCCTCTTCCTTGCCTCCTCTCTTCCTCGCCTCCTCTTCCTCCTCTTCTGTTGTTGTTGGTTCTGGGGCTTGAATTCAGGGCCTGGGTGCTATCCTTGAGCTTCATTTGCTTAAGGCTAGGGAGCACTCTACCACTTGAGCCCAGAGCTCCCTTTCTGGTCTTTTGGGGGATGGTTTATTGGAGATAACAGTCTCAAGGACTTTCCTGCCTGGTATGGCTTTGAACTGTGATCCTCAGTTCTCAGCCTCCTGAGTAGATCGGATTGTGGGCATGAGCCTCCAGCACCCAGCTTTCAGCTCTTCTTCTAGAGCATGACTGCCTTTCCTTTCCTTTCATTCATTCACTTACTAAATAATGATTCAATAATGACAGTAGTGAGAATCAGAATACCCAAGTTCAATTCCCAACTCACCACTTAATTAGTATGGCCTTCACCTCTTGCTTAACCTCTGCCCATTTTCTCCCATATGAAATGGAGAAATAGAGGCTTAAAAGTGAGCTAATATGGGTAGTTCTTAGGATTGTGCCTGGCATATAGTAAGCACTGAATAAATATTGGCTGTGATTATGGTGGTAGTTGTTATTGTAATTGGGATAAGTATACAATAAAATCTGAAGCCAGAGTTCAAACTATTCTAATAGTTATTTCTAGAGAGAGAAATTATACGAGTGTTGGTAATTCACTTTGTGGTTTGTATATAGATTACCAAATAGTGTGATCCTGGGCAAAGTATTTGGCCTTGATGCCATAAATCCTTTATTTATAAAATCAGACATATTAAAGAGGACTGTGAAGGGATTGAAGTGAGAGAAGCTGTGGGAAGGCTCAAAGCCACCTTCATGTCTAACTATCGCCCAGTGAGTGAGCCAGGTGCCGGTGGCTCAGACCTGTCATCCTAGCTACTCAGGAGGCTGAGATCTGAGGATCATGGTTCAAAGCCAGCTCAGGCAGGAAAGTGAGCGAGACTCTATCTCCAGTTAACCACCAGGAAACTAGAAGTGGCACAATGGCTCAAAATAGTAGAGCACTAGTCTTGAGCCACAACCAACCAAAAAAAGAAAAAAATCACCCAATACACATGATTTGTTGACATTGTGCCAATCCTTGGTGCACACAGGCAGTCAGACCCAGATCCCTCTAGGCTTTATGGAAAATTACCTTCTAGATAAGGGTAAGGCCAAGAGTTGAGTCAGCACTATTTATCATGCAGTGTGATACACTGTTTATATTAATCAGGAACCTAATTTACACTAGCTTTAGCACAAAGGGGGATTTGTAAGTGATAAAACTAAAAAGCTCAAAGGTAATTGGCTGGGTCCAGATAGTGATAAAAATGACTTATTAAACCTCAGTCCCTCTTAGCTCCATCTTCCTGTATTGAGTTTGAAGTGGCCTCCCTCTGAGTGGGTTTTCCTCAACATGTCAGTTTACCTCCAAAGGAGTCACGTTTGTCAGCAAAACTCCCAGGATTCATTCTGATTAGCTCTGATTGTTTTGCCATTGAAGATGCAGGAGAGGAAGAGTCTCACTTGAACTTCATGGACTGAATCTGGTCAGGAAGTTGTTTAGTGAAAAGTATCCAGAATGTATTTTTGCTGAACAGATAATACCATGACTGCCAGGCTATGAACTAGACATAATCCCAGCAGGGGTTAGTGTCTCCTAGGAGGTTGAGGAGAGCTACATTAGTGAATGACTCGGTGGTGCTTGCCTAGCACGCATGAGGCCCTGGGTTCGATTCCTCAGTACCACCTAAGCAGAAAAACCGGTGTGGCTCAAGTGGTAGAATGCTAGCCTTGAGCTGAAGAGCTGAGGGACAGCGCCCAGGCCCAGAGTTCAGGCTCCACAACCCACAAAAAACAAACAAACAAAACTTTTTTGGCAGTACTCAGTGTCTCTAGCTGGCTAGCCAGGTGCTCTACCACTTGAGCCACATCCCTGTCCCTTGGTTGGGTCCTTCTCTTAAGAAATGTCCCAGGGGCAGGGAATGTAGTTCAGTGGTAGAGCGCTTGCCTTGCATGCATGAGGCCCTGGGTTCGATTCCTCAGCACCACATAAACAGAAGAAAAAAAAAGCCAGAAGTGGCGCTGTGGCTCAATTGGTAGAGCTCTAGCCTTGAGCTGAAGAGCTGAGGGTACCCAGGCCCAGAGTTCAGGCCCTACGACCGGACCCCCCACCCCCCAAAAAAAAGAAATGTCCCAGTCATTGTTTCTAGAGCTGTTTTCTACTACTTCTTGCCATTAATTCAAGCTTTTCTTACGAAGTTCTCACACCTAAAACTAAGCTGCATTTGTAAAAAAACAAACAACCCCCCCCCAAAAAACCTTAGTGATAGCATTGTTATTAAAACATGCTGAGTTATATAACTTCTCAGATGTGGGCCATTTTAGAGTGTGATCAGTTTGTGTTTACAATGATGCTCGTGCTCTTTGGAGGTGGCTCTAGTTTATGACACAGAAATGAAAGTGACAAATGCCTGCTCCAAGTTACAGCTTCAAGGTTGACTGGTCGCTAGAGTTCTAGCCTCAGTTATATACCTCTTGTAATCCTAGCTCAATGCTAAATGATGCCAAGAGGGTAGCTAGTTAACAACTGTTAACTAGTTCTCCTGAAAGCTTCCCTAGCTGCCTGGAGATTTTAGAAGCTGAAGGGCTGTTATTAGACAAAGAATGCTGCATTGCATAATTTCTTTCCCCAACTGATATTTCTTACTAAGAAACCAGTGAGTATTATTTAACTGTGGCAAATGTTATAAGGCATCAGGAAAAGAATTCCTTTATTTCTAGAGAAACCTATGAAAACCTAAGAATAGTTGCAAGGTAAGACTGATCCTGTTTTTAGAAAGTTAAAAGTTCTTCAGAGATGTTTCATGCAGCCCTTAAGAGGGACAATTGTGTACACACACACACACACACACACACACACACACACACACACACAGTCAATGCTGTGGCTTGAACTGAGGTCTTTGCACTGTCTTGGTTGGCTTTAGATATAAAACTCTTCCAGTCATCTTTTTTTCCTCCCAGGTTGGCTTTGAATTGCAATCCTCAGATGTCAGCCTCCAGATTACTAGGATTACAGGCATGAGCCACCAGTGCCTGACTTCTTGTGGCCTTTAAGGCATATGGCTAAGCTCAGGAATGTGCATGGGATGGAAAAGCAGGGTTAGCAGGAGTGCAGAATCTCTGGAGGGGTCTGTGTGCCTTGAAAGGCAACCCCAGGATTCCATCCTATTCTTTATCCTATTAACCTGCCAGAAACAGAAATAAACAGGGCAGGCTTTGGTTGCTGGTCTGGTGACAAGCTACACAAATGTGCCTAGGGAGACATGGAGAGACCTAATAGGCAAAAAACAAAACAAAACGAAAAACAAAAACACAAGCAAACCAATACTTTCTATTGCTCTTCCTGTCAAAATTCAGAAGGATAGAATAGAGGGGAAGAAAATAAACCTAGATTTAAAAATAAAAAAGGAAACAATGAAATAGTAGCTCTTTTTGCAAGATATAAGTGGACATTACATCTTCTTGCAAGATATAAGTAGACAAGTCAAAGTGGGCAAGTCTAGCATCTGACATCTACTTCCAATTTGGTGGTTTGGGCTAAGTCATTTTATGAGATAATTTTATCAGTAAAATAAGAATATTTGGGCTTTTGAAAGAACTGAGATGTAAAGCATTTCACACGGGTTTAACACACAGTACATTCTCAACAAATGACCAAGGCTATTATTTTTCAATGCACATGTCTATAAACCATGAGGCAAAACTAAAAGTAAGAATCTAACATTCCTAATGCCAACCAAGAAAAACATCAAGAATTAAGAGAATACGCATGCCACTAGAAAAAGTAGGTAGACTTTGTAATTAAGGAAGTCTGGGAAAGGCTGGGAAATATTTCCTTGACATAGACACTAATCAAAATTAGTAAACCGGATCCTCACTAATAGCAACGAGCTATGCTTTTAAGACCCTAAGTCTATCTTTTTCCTTCCTTCCTTCCCTCCCTCCCTCCCTCCTTCCTTCCTTTTCCTTTCTGCAGAAAATCTTTACAGAGAAAGAAAAAGCTCATTACGAAAACTGAGACATGTTCTGTAATAATAACATTACTATCCTGTCTTGTTTTTCATCCTTAGGAAAAAAGGGGTATTGGAAACATTTTCTGGAACAGAAACGAATAAGATCTGGCCCTATGTATATGCTTTCCTGCAAACGAAAGTTCCACAAACAAACCAGAAAGCCTCGGTTACTCCCTGAAGAGAAAGGGCTAACTAGGAAGATAACCAGAACCTTCATCTGCATTTAACAGCTCCTTTGCCCAAGCCTCAGCATCTTCTTTGAAAATCATGTTTTACTTCTTCTACTGATCTTTATTCTGGATACTACTGTGGATGTGCCAAATGAGTCAAGTCTTGAAGTTGCCCTTCTGAAACCATCTAGGTTTTAGCCAGTTATCTATTAAGGGTGTGCAATGAAAAAAATGTGAGATGTTGACTTTTAAAAAAAAAATTAAAAGAATTGTTAGTAATCTTTCTGTTCTCTAAAAGAAGTGGTTGGTAAAATTATGATGTTTTTTTTTCTAGAAATGTTTTTAAAAACTACATGTCATTTGAGGGAAAATATCCCATCAGTGGTTTTTAAATGTAAAAAACATGTTTTTCTAGTCCCATGGGGTGGGGTCTTGTGAAACACTGTAATATCGCCGAGAAAAATGCAACTGAACTTATTAGATATGTTGCAGGATGAAGACTCACTGCTGCCTTTCTATTAAGAAACAAAAAAGCAAGCCACATGTTAGACATACTGTTTATTCAGAATTTTCAATTTGCTAAAAAAATCAATTTATATATAAGAAAACATTAATGTAGCATATTTTTTTCTTGTGAAAATGTGTATCACAGGATACATCAGAAATTGACATTTAAATGAAAACCAACACGGAATTACTTTTCAGTGGACAAGATAATAAGGTCTTAGATTTTCAGTTGTTACTCAGGTTAAGAGATACTTGTTTTTTGTTTTTTTTTTTCTTCCCTCAAACATACAGTCTGCCTTGAGAAACAAGTTATAGTAAAAAGAAAAAAAGGAAAGACTTAGACAAAGCCCATGTTGCTATGTATAAGCTGGTACTTGCTATTATTTACCTCTATCCCCACCCCCTTCGAGACAAGGTCTCACTTTCAGTCCAAGGTGGCCTTGAACTTGTGATCCTCCTGCCTTAGCTTCCTAAATGCTAGATTACAGCAGATGTACCCCAGTACGCCCAACAACTGCCACTCTGTTAAAGGGGAAAAAGCTCTGCCACCCTGTTAAAGGGGAAAAAGCTCTGCTGGTGTTATCTAGCAGTGTTTTGTTTTGTGGTGCTGAGGATCAAAGCCAAGGCCTTGTGCATATTAGACAAGTGCTCTTATCACTGAGCTACATACTTTTTTTCCTTTTTCTTTTTTGGGTCAGTCGTGGGGCTTGAACTCTGGGCTTGGGCGCTGTCCCTCAGCTCTTCAGCTCAAGGCAAGTGCTCCACCACTTGAGCCACAGAACCACTTCCAAGCTACATACGTTTTGTGTGTGCCAATAATGAGGCTTGAACTCAAGGCCTGGGCACTGTCCCTGAGCATAGTGCCCAAGTCTTTAGCATCCTACCACTTGAGCCATAGCTCTACTTCTGGGCTTTCTGGTGGTTTACTGGAGATAAGAGTCTCACTGACTTTCCTGCTTCAAACTATGATCCTTAGCTCTCAGCCTCCAGAGTAGCAAGGATTATAGGCATAAACCACCAATGTCCAGCTCTCCCCTTGTTTTTGAGACAGGATCTCACTATGTAGCTCAGTCTGGCCTTGATCTCCTTGAGATGCTTCTGTCTCAGCCTCCTGAGGGCTGGGATTATAGGCATGCACCACCACACCCTGAGAATCCATTTTTAAAACCTAAACAATTTTAAGATTCCTTAGTGAGGAAATAAGGTTGCCTTCTTTTGTACTGTGGCCTAGAAGTGTGGTAATATTGAAGGCCAAGGGGAAAACCCAACTATATCCAGCTATAGCTTCCAGGAGATATGTGTTCTTCCTTGGTGCTAAATCAAATGAATCCAGCCCTTAGACAAACTATTACAACCTTTAGAAATTTGCAAGCCAGTGGTTTAGGGAGAACAGAAGGAATATATGAACTTACTTTCCTGTCTTTTGATTTTTTAAAATTCTTTGTTGATCTTTCAAAATAGAACAGATTTTAAAGAATTAAAGTGAATATTCTTTATAACTTTCTTAATGCCTTATGTGCCATCCAAAAATGTTGTGAACTACCTAAACTTACCATTTATCACTAGGTTAGGCATGTTTTAATTTCTATTAGAACGTAATACAATGAAATGTCAGCACTGTGGCTTCCACTTTGTCAACGGTCCTTCCCAGAGCCCATTCCACTTCACCTTCCCTTCTGTTGTGCCAACAGTCTCGTTGGCTTCATTCTAATAAACTATCTAAACAGTACCTATGTTGGTTTTATTTATACCTTTATCACCACCTAGTAGTTGAAGAACATGCTATGAAAACCTGAAATCGGGCTGGGAAGGTGGCTCAGTGGTAGAGCGCTTGCCTTGCATGCAGGAGGCCCTGGGTTCGGTTCCTCAGCACCATATAAGCAGAAAAAAAAAAGCCAGAAGTGCTTCTGTGGCTCAAGTGGTAGAGCGCTAGCCTTGAGCTGAAGAGCTGAGGGACAGTGCCCAGGCCCAGAGTTCAGGCCCAGGACCAGACCAAAAACCCCCCCAAAAACCTGAAATAATTCCCTCCCCATCCCTCAAACACTTACTAAATACATTCATTACTTTGAGAAAGGTATAGCAATTTTCTTGAAAGTTTACAAAAATTTTATTTTAAACAAGGGTTTTAGTATAACAAGGTAAAATATACTAAGGGGAATTCAAGATTCTGGAAAGATCTTGTTTTCTCATGGATGGATTCATGAGCATTACAGGCTCAGACTCACATCTATAATTTAGATACTCAGGAGGCTGAGATCTGAGGAACCAGCCCAGAGGAGAGTCCGAGAGGCTCTTATCTCCAATGAAGCATCAAAAAAGCCAGAACTAAAGGTGTGGCTCAAATGGTAGAGTACTAGCCTTGGGTAAAAAAGCTAAGATACAACACCCAGGCCTAAGTTCAAGCCCTAGTATTGTATTAGCACACAAACACAATTAAAAGTGAGGATTTCTTTGCCACATGGAAATGTCCAGACGGATGCCCTGGCTGGAACTATTGGGCTTTGGTTAAAAACTAATGAGAAGAGTACCTCAAATCACTGTTTCCGAAGTAGCACAATTATGCAGATCCTGAACTGGCTGAGATTATTAAATCCAAACACATGGCCACCTCAGCCATGTAATGTATATGTAAATATAAACGTGTTTATATATATGCCATTGTGTGTGTATATACATATATATACACATATACACATATATACACACACAATGGTATTCCAGCAAAGTATTTTGGAACCTAGAACGAAATAAAGCAGTATAATTACAGACCTTATATTTATGCTACATTGCTACTCTAGTTGTAACCAATGGCAACAACAATAACAACTTTAAACGTATTGATAAATTGTCTTTTCATTGACCAAAAAAAACCCCACTGATTTAAAAAAAACTGTGGAAAAAGCTTTCAGATTTTTTTTGTAAGTTATCATTTTTAAAAAGTTTTTAAGACTTTAAATACTTCAGCTGTGCACAAAAGCTCTGGTAAAAATCAGTATATAGTCTCAAACCCATACTTTTTTTTTTTAAAGCAAATTATGAGTTTTTCCATTTTCTAGCGGAGTGAAGTTCAAGTGTCATGTCAAAGTGTCAAGCTAGTGTTGTCTTGTTTCCCCTAAGCATTACAAGTTAGGTTTGGAAGAGTAAACAGCATAAAGAGTAACATCATGGTCATTGTTGAAGGAAACCAAGTGAAAGCTGTGGGAAGTTTTAAAATCACTTTCACTTATGGCTGGCATTCTACCATTTGAGCCACAAATTAAAGTCATTTTCTATAATTTAGAAAAGACTACACTTCAAATGTAACTCAATATTTTTCAGCTTCATTATTAGATAGTAAGCAAGTCATAAATCTTTATTCATCTTTATATCTCCTACCCACTAACTTACATCATAAGCAACAAACACTTGTTAGATGAACTTGTTGGAAGACCTCTGCATGTTAACTAGATGGGAAGAGATGCACAAGACATAGTTACTAAAGCATGTATGGCAAAAGCGACTCAACACAGACAACTACCATTTCTGTGCCAGCCCAACTTAAGAACTGAAATACGGAAGTTACTATTTTTCTGAAAATAGACCAAAGTTAACTTAAGGATGAGTCACTTTGCCTAAACCTAAAATCAATTTTTTTTGGTGGGGTGGGGGATCAGTCATGGAGCTTGAACTCAGGGCCTGCTGTCCCTGAGTCTCTTTGTGCTCAAGGCTAGTAGTCCTCTACCAATTTGAGCCACAGCACCACTTCCGGTCTCCTGGTGGTTAACTGGAAATAAAAGTCTCGTGGACATTCCTAGCCCAGGTTCTAAGGAGTTAGGATTACAGGCCTGAGCCACCAGTGCCCAGCTTACACTCAACTGTTTTATCTGATAAGAAAATCTACATATTAAAACAGATGCCTGTGGTTTAGATAGCTTGGTAGTTCACTTTTAAAGGATAACAGAAATATTATCTGGGGACTGGGAAGGTGGCTCAGTGGTGGTAGAGCGCTAGCCTTGAGCTGAAGAGCTGAGGGACAGTGCCCAGGCCCAGAGTTCAGGCCCCACGACTGGACCCCTCCCCCCCCCCCCCCGGAAAAAAAAAAGGTTATCTGAAAAAGAGAAAGCTGAAGAAGCTAAGAAAATAGCTCACTAGACAACATTTGAAAGAACTATTAAATGCTCTTCATCTCCTTAGTAGTATTTTTAATCAGCATTAATCTCTATCGCCCTTAACAGCATGACACTGAATTAACATTCGAAATGGGGTAATAGCTATTTCACTTTAAAAAAATCTTATAAGATGAATTTTATCAAGTAAAACAAGTATCTTTGCTGAATGAAAAATCTTTGCTATTAAAATATTCATCAGGTTGAACTTTCCATGGTTTTTTTTGTCGAGAAATTTTGTAAATTGAAATATAAGAGAACCACTTGCTCAGTCTACTCTTTAAAAAAATAGGATTTCTTTTTAAAACAGGAGTGACCTCTCAAGCCCAAATGGGCACTTTTAGAATAAGGAAAAATAAGAATGTCAATTTATTGTCCTAAAGTACTGCTAATTGTGTAAAAATTATAGTGTAAAGGTGCAAATGCAAATATGGCATTACTCAGCGTTCTCCAAACAAACCCAATCACACTTTCACACATTTGAAACATGAAACACTTCCTTTTAAAGTGAAAATAAATTATCTTACATTCTGAAGAACGGTATTTGTATCTTAAAAAACAAAAACCTTAATTTAGGAACTGTGCATCATTGTTTGCTAGAACTTTTTCTCATGCTGGTCTTCAGCCAGTACTAACTCAAAAACAAAATGAGTATCAAGAAAGCAATGTAGATGATCACAGGTATAAGAC